TCGCTGCTTCCGCCAGGGATCTCAGGGTTTCCTTTGCATGCCCACTTCACTGATTCCTACTCTGAACTTTCCTGACTCGTCATCAACTGCTGTGGATTTGGGTTCCTCTAGTGTGTTTATATTCTTGAAGAGCAACGTTAGGTCATTGGGGATGTCTAGATTTCATGACAGAGAACTGAAAGTTATAAACTTCATGCCTAAAACTGCATTTTTTTTTTTTTAGCATTGTGTGACTCTGAAATTTCCCACGAAATAAAGTGGTTGAAATTGAGCACACCATGGCCAGCAACATGGAAGAGGACACTCTTGAAGAGGATTTCAAGATCTTACTATCCCTAGGTTGTGGTGCGTTCGGGGAGGTGAAGCTGGCCTGCCACCTGCCCACTCAAACACGAGTGGCTGTCAAGGTCCTCGAGAAAAACACCAACAGTGTGGCTGACATCAGCACTGAAGTGAGCATCCTTCAGTCTGTAGAACACAGGAACATTGTTCGATTTTTCCACATGATCGACACGCTGACAACCACGTACCTGATCATGGAGTACGTGGCAGGAGAAGATCTGGAGAGCTGCCTCAGGGCGCTGGGCTGTCTAAAGGAGGAGGAGGCTAGAGCGATTTTCCGGCAGGTTGTATCAGCAGTGCACTTCCTCCACCAGAGACGCATCGCACATCGAGACATTAAATTAGAAAACATCCTAGTCGATGCAGCAGGAAATGCAAAGCTTTGTGACTTTGGTATGGCAATTGAAGTCACAGAGGGGCAGATGTTGGAGGAGATCTGTGGCTCCTTGCTCTATTGGGCCCCAGAGATCTTGGCAAGGAAACCTTACGATGGACTGGCAGGTGACATGTGGAGCCTGGGCGTCGTCTTATACACCCTGGTCACAGGGCATTTTCCATACGTAGAAACCACCCTGGAAGCTATGCACAGGCTCATCACCACCACAATGTGTCCCATTCCTTACCATTTATCAAAACCCTGCCATATTATAATCGCGATATTACTCATGGTCCCCACTTGGTACAGAATAACAATATGCCAGCTTGTGGAACGACCATGGCTGGGCCCCATTCAAGAGCATGTACCACCTGCCACTAAGGAACTCCTTCCCAGGGTCGTGGAGACTATGTGTACTATCGGCTATACCTGTGAAGAGATTGTTTCTTCCCTAAAGCACGGGGAGCCAAATAATTTAACATCCACCATGAATATCATCAAATACAATCTGAGCTGTGGAGATAGCCATATGCAAAATAAGACCTGGTTAAATGTGACCCATGCAGCTCCCCTTAGCCTCCCAGCTTCCTTGAAGAGGAGAGCTAGTGAACCAGCTCTTCCTGCTGGGAAGAGTCACTTTCACAAAGAGGGTTTGGGAGAAAGTGTCAGGAGGTGCAGAAGCTGTACCATGCTCAAGAGATCCTGCAGCCTGGAGGTGATGCCGTGTTCGGTTAACACAGTCACAGAAAAAGATGCTTTTGTGGCTGATGTCATCAACTCTGCTCCAGAGAACACTGCAGTCAACAGGAATTCTGTTGACAGTCTGCCTGGCGATCTCTGCTACCCAGAATCAACTCTGGATGGAACATTCACGGGGTTTATGAACATGGGCTTCACAGAGGAACCATCCACGGAGCAAGGCATCCCCAGTGACCAGTCCCAGGTGGCACCCACAACATCTGGATCCAGGCCATTCCGGGCTGGAAACTGGTGAGGAAGAGAATTTCCCAGGCACTGAGAGCACTGTGCTGCTGCTGCTGCTGCTGCCTGTCCACACCATGGTGAGTCCTGGATCCTTGTGTCAGGGGCTTCACAGAAAAGAGAGGACAGTGGAGACCTACGTGGAGTGCAGGTGGTTTGGTCACCCAGAAGGATTCCTCCCTTGTATTTTCACAGTGTTGTTTCAATATCATTTATAATTGACAAGTTGAACCCACATAGAAAGCACAGAAATTAAGATGTCTTCCTGTTCATGTAAATACCCGCAATGCTGAGCCAGAAGCAGATAGCATAGCATGTGGACCACAGGGTGGGAAGGAAGGGAGGAGGTTTTGGGTAAAGAGGACAAAGCTTCAGAATGGAGGAATTGGAAGGAGAACTATGGTACCCAACATTTCTCTGTTACAGTTACTAACAGGGCTGCTTTCATGTTTCTTTCTGCTTTGAAGTGTGGAAACTGAAATGGCCTAATAGAATTCCAGCCCTGGCGAGGAGTGACTGCCAATGAAGGAAGTCAGGACAGATCTCCAGAGTGCCAGTCCCTCCAACCCAGGACCACAGACTCCTGCATCCATCCTCCAGCTACTGGGAATCAGCTGAGAGTTTGCATCTCCTTCATCTTCTTCCAGCTCCAGCACTGCTGCTGTACAAAGAGCTGGTCATAGGCACCGCTTCCCGATGACCCTCCACCTCCCTAGCTTTGGTTGTGCTTGTGAGTCCACTCACACTGCATGTAAAACAGCTGACTCTACAACCTGCATGCTAATACCAATCTGGGCTGCTCCCATCTCGATAACTCTAACCTCTCCATCTTGTTCTGTGACTGTCTTCTGGAAAGGACAGCGACACCTGTGTGAGTCTCTGGAGGAGGGAGATGGGTGAAAGGAGATAAAGGGGACGAATTGGGAAACAGGATGGAGACAGGAAAAGGGGAAAGGAGAGGTGGTGTAGGTAAGGAATACAGTCTGTCCTGAGGAACTTCTATCAACAAATGACATGAGAGAGATGGGTGTGCTGACCTGTGACAGGGACCCTGGACGAGCTAGAGCAGGGAGAAACCTCCGCGGAAGAGCATATAGGGACGGGACTAGGAACAGCCAGCAGTGAGCATGAGAGGCCTCCTCTGATGGTCCCAGCATGTGTCAAGGCACACAAGTAGGATACTGCATTGGAAATTGCATCCTGATCTTTCCTACCGAGCTAGGGTGTGGCAGGAGAAAAGAGGCCTATTGGTCAGTGGATTCCCATGTTCCTCAGTGCTGATTACCTCCTGTCTGTCAAAGTCACTAGAGAGGGGCTTTCCCTTGGTTTTTACTGAGGGAGAGTGTGATGACCTATTTGAAATACTGTCTTGTTATATAACTGAAGGATCAGGTCAGATGCTGTGTCCTGTGATGATATGTCAGGGCTACAGGTTCTGGTGTCCATCTTCCCGCTATAGAGTCTCAGTTCCACCTCCCTGCTGCCCTGCACTGTTGGTGGGCATCCCTGCGTAGTCTCATGCAGCACCAACACTGAAGGCCTCCTCCCTTGTCTCATGGATGCTGTCGGACCAGGCTTCCCCAGCATCTAGTAGCCAGCCTGTAGACAGGACAGACTTGCACACAGGATTCAGGCTTAGTCCTCTCTGATCTCTCCATCACGTCCAAACTGCTTTCTGACTGTCTTTAGGAAGAACTTCAGGAAGTGTAAAAGCAGAGGGAGGTGAGAGAAGAGAAATAATGGGGGAGGACCAGGGAACGGGAGGTGGAGAGGATAAAGAGGAAATGAGAGGACCTGTAGAGAGAGGAAGTCTGTCCTGAGGAGCTGTTCTCTCTCTCTTTTAAACCCTGTGGCTTTTGGAGCCTGTCCTGGAATTCGCTCTGTAGACCAGGCTGGCCTCGAACTCACAGAGATCTGCCTGCCTCTGCCTCCCGAGTGCTGGGATTAAAGGTGTGCGCCGCCACCACCTGGCGGAACTCTGGTTTCTTACCAGCCATGAGGAGGAAAGTCTCTGCTCTGAAGGTTTTGGCATGTGTAATGGTAGAAAAGTGTGAGGCGGTCTTGGAAAGGCCTTCTTGACCGGGGCTACTGATGAAGGGTTTCTCAGGGTGCTCCACATAATTGGAGTCCTCCCCTGGTCCTGTCTGACATGGCCCATGACAGGTCTGATGACATCTGTGTCTTGGTTCTCACAGGCTCCTTCATCCAGGCTTTCATGTTGCCTCCCATCGCCTGATCCAAGAATCGGGCATCGTTATCCCTTCTCACGGAGGGATCTATAACCTACGTTAGACCTCACATCACCATTGTTCTGCTCCAACGTGGGAACGTAAGTACGTCATGCCAGGTCTGATGTTGAGTTCTGCCTTCACAAGGCCAGCAGCCAGGGGACTTCTCTATGACCAATGCCCACCATAGGGTCATGTGCACAAGGAGACCTTGGTCACCATGGAACTCCCGATGACAGCCAGTGGTGCAGTGTGAAGACTGGTGAGTGTGGGGTCTGAACTGTTTTCCAGGACACCTTCCAGGTAGGGAGCAGCTCGCTGAGCTGCCAAGGGGAACCGAACTCAACAGGTAATCCAGGGCCCTACCTGTGCACATCAGCACCTGAAGTACCTGAGTACAGTAAGTATCTGTTTGTGGTAGAAGATGAGTTTCTGAAGCCTGGTCCTGATGTCATGAAGAAAGGGATCCCATGAGGTGGCCTCTGCCAGCACCCCTAACACAGAGGGAAACTTACCATTGACTCGCTTGACTGAAGAGCAATGGGAGGCGGAGAGATTGTGGAGGTGTGGTAAGGGAGGAACCATCTCTCTGTTGTACTTGGCATCCGGCTTCCATCCTGACCATCTGACCTTTTAGCTATCACTGGTGTATAGTGAAGGCTTGGCCTGATCTTCATCCCAGCAGGACAGCAGCCAGCATGTGTGGTCACGTACTTTCTAGAACCCTGACCATCTGGTGAGTCCCATGTACACAGAACAAGAAGCAGAGGCTTAGGGGGTGAGAGCTACTTTAATTTATGAGCATCAGCTGGGGTCATGTCTTGTTGCTTTTGCATATCAGTGAAGCCAGGGCTGTGAAATGGTTGAGGGTTCTGTTGAGTTCTAGACATGAGATAGGGCAATTTCCTGAATCCACATTTTATATTTTATGTTTTGAGACTGGATCTCACAATATAGTCCTGGATGTCCTGAGACTCTCTATGTAGAGCACGCAGATCTCAAACTCGTAGAGATCAACCATGTACCCCTGCCTCCTGAGGGCTGCATTACAGATGCACACTGTCATGCCTGGCTTCAACAGCTGTATGGCATCAATGGTAGGTTCCTCCAAACAGCTGTATGGCATCAATGGTAAGTTCCTCCAAACAGCCGATGCAGAATCGTACCAGTTCTGTGCTTTTTTCATCTTGACAGGGTTGGGACTGAACTGAAGGTACTTTCATCCATGATGGACTAGGAACAGGGGGCAAAGTCCAAATCTAACCTTCAGAATAGAAGTCTATGTCCAGCATGAACAGACACCTGGAGGTAAGAAGCGCCATCAGGAGTTCTTCTGTGGACACAAGGCTTTGGACACGTGCCATTGCTGATACATCCTTGGGAACAAGGCACAGAGTATTAAGTCTATGCACTAACCATGTTTTCACAAAATCTCCACCTGAAGTCTTGGCACAAGTCATATGACTTCAAACTGACCAATCAGCAGAGTCCAGATTGGTTTCCTGATGTGATTGATGGAGTTCTTTCCATTTGGGCCATGAGAACAAGGCTGAGGACTCAAGGTGGGCCACTGAGACACTGGGCTCCTGCCTGGGATTTTGAAGTCAGAGCTTTCACTCTAAGGACACCAGGTCTAGAGGCAGTGCACGAAGCCACAATTTCTAGATAGAAGCTTCCAGTCCTCCTCATCCAACACACATAGAATCCACTTGGCTGCTGGCTTCCATGGCTAGACTTACTCGTGGATGCCCCAGTGATTTCTTTACTTGGTTTGGGTTGGTTTTTTGGCCATTGAACCTTCTTCATCCTTGCTATCTAGTGGGGATCCCAGAGCTGCAGGAATCCTGATACTGAACAACTCGGACTCTGAAGCACATGCTGGATTCTGTGAAGGCAGAGGTGATCATTTCCCTCCCCAGGATATTGTGGGCCATCCCTAGGGGACCACTGTCCTACTCTGTGTCCTCAGTGTTCTGTCATTCATGTTCCGGCTCCTACAGACCTCCAGATTTTCCATATGAGAGAAGAGAGACCTGTTTGGCTTTTGGGACTTGCTTGCCACACATAACATAGCATCTTAAGACGCGCATGTATTCTGGAAAATTACACTCTTGATGCTGAGCGTGTGCTCTTTCCCCATATCTTCAGATAGTTATTTCATCATTTTTTTATTTCATCAATTTTTCATACTTGATACTGTTGTCTGTTTTTTTGCAATTTTCCCATTAACTTGTTTCCCTGTATGGGTGTAAATTTACAAATCTGACATCAGAATCTCCAGTCCCACAGTTCTCGCTGCTTCTAAGTAAAGTGACATAGTTGAGCTGGAGATGGAACCATAGGGTGAGAGACAGAGGCTGCAGAGGCAGCAGGAAAGAGTTTGCAGAGGGAGGAATGAGGATGGGATGGAAGAGACAGAGAGGAGGAGCCATGGGGAGCGGGAAGCTCAGTGGGTAAGGAGAGTGGAGACTGAGTGCTGCCTGTTTCAGATTCCCTTAGAGCCTCTCACGGGTGCTTCCTGTTTAAAGTGATGAGCTCTGTACATCAGGAGACACGGGTGGAGATTGCAGGTGTGGCCCGAGACTTAGAAGTAGGAGTATTGGAGGAATTCCAGATGGCCGGGTGCCCACGTACCCAGCATAAAGGGTCTCTGTCCAGAAGAAGAGGAGGTAAGTCGTCTACCACAGGTTTCTCCCCCAGGAAACAATAGTTTTCAAGGGAAAATGTCCAGAGCTGGCCTTTCACGGTGTCCTCGTCAGAGGTGGTCTTGAGCCAATACCATGTCCGAGCTGCCCATGAATGCCCTGTGGACCAGTCTGCAGGGAAATGCCTCATTAATCTGAAGTCCATTCCTTCAGGTTTCTGGTCCTTGTGAATGTTACCTCTGCTCCCTGTGGTTGTGTTTGCCACCTTCATTTATCCCAGATTCTGCCCATCAGAAAAGACACAGTCACACTGTGTGCAGCTCTGGTTACTGTGTTCCTGAAGAAGCCTCACTCTAGGGAGTTTTATCAGAACTGTACTTTTCTCCTGACAGGAATGTGACTATTGGCTGGAGGAAATGGGCATCACTTTGGAATGCTGGGACTTTGCTCCACTTTGGAAGTGAGTCGGGCTTACATAGCCTAGCACAGAGGCCAGCACTCTCACACCTACTTTATACTCAGGTCCCACTGGTCACAGGGGTCAGGCCTAGGCAGTCTTGTTGACCATAGAGCAAGGACTTTCAGCTCAGCTGTCTGCTTGGTTGTCGTGCTGGGCTAACTGTCTAAAGTGTTGTCAGGTGCACCTGACAGGCAGATCACTGTTCCATGCAGTGAAGGGTGCCCACTCTGATGGGGTTGAATGCCAGGGCTCATCTGTGGGCAGCACATGGCTGAAGACATCACTGAGACCACTGTATACCAGCCTGTGGTAGTTGAGATGTGTTTGGTTTCTGGTCTAAAGCTGACTCTGCCTTATGCGTTAGGAATCTTATGGCTGGCCAGGCAGGCTTCCCTCAGTCCCAAGGGAAAGTGGTCATTGAGCTTGTGTTACAGAAGGATAAGAAAGCGTGGGAGGGGGACTTGATTGGGGGAGGGGGAGGGGAAGGGGAGGCGGCGGTGGGGAAGAGACAGAAATCTTAAATAAATAAATAAATAAAGAAAGAAAGAAAGAAAGAAAGAAAGAGAATGAGAAACAACACCCAAGCCATGGCTTCAGAGGGATGTTAAGAAAACTTGATGTAGGTAGTACATCTCTCCCCTCTGATCTTTTTTTTTTTTGATTTATTTATTTATTATGTATACAACATTCTGCCTCGATGTATGCCCGCACACCAGAGGAGGGCGCCAGATCTCAGTACATATGGCTGTGAGCCACCATGTGGTTGCTGGGAGTTGAACTCAGGACCTCTGGAAGAGCAGCCAATGCTCTTAACCACTGAGCCATCGCTCCAGCCCTCTCCCCTCTGATCTTAACATCACTGGGGAGGAACAGTTTGAAACAAACAAGGTAAACATCTCACACAAGGGGATTATAATAACCACAGCACACGATACAGATGGCATTCACTCTGTCACTCCTCAGTGACTTCGTCTATGTTGAGTTCCACAGCCTGGAGCATGAAGATTCACACATCCCAGCAGGAAATGGGCCCAGAGAAATTGGCTGCTTGCTCTTTGGCAGCTGGCTGATCTGTTGATCAGTGAGTGACCACTAGGGCAAGTCAGTCCTGATGTACTTTACTGTCACTAGAGCCTGGGCAAGGGAGACTTGGGGACTGTGGCCAGGTCATGGAATCTCAGAAGAGACAGCACAAGTCAAACCTGGGCTCCAAGTCCATCTGATTATCTCTAAGCACATGAATCTCACAATGCAGACGCGATGCCCAAGAGGCCTGAGTGCAATGTGTATTTTTTATATCGCTGGCCACTAGAGGGAGCCTGTTGTGGCCTGAGAGAAGTCAGCTTATGATCAGGCTCACACACTTAACAGCCTCCTTACTCACTGCCTGAGTGGTAGAGGCAACAGGAAGAGGTGAAGTCAGCACCCCAGATCTCTGCACACACTACCCCAACGTTGCTCAGTACTATGCACCTCCCAGTGGAGATAACTGAGTCCCAGAGATGCTCATTGGCTTGCTCTTTGGACAGAGCAGGACTGGTTGGATCCCTGTTTAAATTCCTTGGCCCCAGATACGATGACCACTGTGGTGCAGCCTGGGTCCCTTGCAGTCTCAGAGGTCAATCCCAGACCTCTCATTGACCACCCTTCTCTCCTCACATCTCCAGGATCTGTTGGACATGCTCTGGGACAAAGCTCATTGTCACCGTATGTGCATCCTGTGTCATCTAGGCAAGTGTTGAATGAGATGGGGTGCAGGAAGCATAGTGCCCAGATACAGACATGTTGGTGGGAAGCTGCTTCTCCTCCCTGACCCTAGAGCCTTCTCACAGGACAGGAGCAGGGGAGCCGGGACAAACCAATCCCTGCAATCAGAGCTTCCTGAGGAGACCATACTGAGTTCTCCCTCAGAAAGGTCACACAAGAAAGTGGACACTGACCCGTCCTCATTAGGTCCCGGATCCCACCAGAAAGAACCCTGCTATTTTGTGTAAGGCCACAGCAGAAGGCCTGGTGAGTGAATCTGTCTGCCAGCTTCGCTATTAGTCTAAAACAAGGCTTCTCTTGTAGGTGCTGGGCCACAAACTGAGTCATGGACCCCGAAATTCCTGACCTGAGGATGTGCACACTGAGCACTAGTGACACTGAGGGAGGAGTCGGCCCTCACTGTCACTTCTCATGGATGACTAGCATGCCATTGCCTGAGCTCTTGAGTAGCTCTAAGGCTCCACAGGGCGTCGTGAGGACACTGTGGAGGACAATGAAGTGGTTGCTCTTCCACCTTCCAACTACAGACAACCACCCAAATTACCAGCAAGATCTGCGGGATCCACAGGGGCCCCCTTGGGAAAGCCTCCCAGTGGGTAGATGTTGTTGTATCCCTGCCCAACTTAGACCCCTCTGCACTTTGACAATGCAGAACGTGACCTGTGCCTCTTTGTGCTCACAGATAACCCAGAAACCCTGTGTGAGCAGGCTAAGAAATTATCGGAAAAGAGCCTTGGGAAATGAATGTGCTTCTCTTTCTGACTAGATCATCTGAGAAGGATCATCTGAGAAGTGTCCATGGACCCCCTGTCCCAAGGTACCAATAACATGAATAGGGAGACTTGAGGTCATAGAGTTGGGCCAGACTCACTGATATTAGATAGAGACATTTTACAAACAAACAATTCTTGAAGTACTTGGCCTCAGAACACGCGATTCACAGAAATCCAAATTGATAGCTCTCAGGGTCTACCAGTTGCTATTTCCAAGGTGACAGACCTTTGCCCTTCATCTACAGACTCAGCAAAATCCAGTCTGATGCTCAAACACCAAACGGAACAACCAACTGTACCTAAACCTAGAAGAGATGGAAGAGGGCAGAAGAGATTCCTCCAGAACCTGCACTGTGGCTCTCGTACATCCCAGAAAGCCTCAGAGTTCCAGAAAGGGCTACAGGGAAGTAATGGAGACTGGACACATGGTACAGAAAGCTCAGCAAAGGACCCAGCTACATCTCGTCAGCTGATTTTGTCATGGTCACCCATGGAAGTCAAGAAAGAGAAAACGGTCTGTACACAAAAGCCTGCAGAAGTGTGAAAAACAAAGAACAGGGAATCCACTGGAAAACTAAACACAGTTACCATTTCAACTGACCCCAAATAAAACACTATAATGTTCACATAAACGTACTCGAATAGGCGTTTGTATGTTCCTGCCTTACAGGGAGAAAGAGCAGAAATAAAATGGAGAAGACGGAATTGTGGACATGAAAACCCTGAGGTCTCCAGCCAAGAAACAAAGAGCTGGAGCATGGCTGGAGCAGACACTTCCCTAGGTCATCTAGAGGGAGCCTGGCCCCTGACACACCCCAGGAGACAACAGACCCCTGTCAGTGTACATCGTGTGGTTATGAGGAGGTGGACATGTGGTGTGTGCTGTGTGGTGTGATGAGGGCTGAACCTCTGCCATTGTGTGGGGTGGAGACGGGCTGTCCAGTGGATCTGGACACAGTCAGGGGGGAAGCAGCCGAGCCCGATACCTAGATCCTTATATGTGCTAGGCGTGCTCCTTCCTGTCAACCCCTTACATACATCGTCAGTTTAAGGACACCCCTCACCCACACTCACCACATACTTTTCTAGGGATCACCCCCGTCTGTTGTCAAAACACAATGCTAAGTAACAGACCCTGCTAAGAAATCCCTCCGACTGCAGTGACAGCTGAGATCTGATGGCAGGTATCTGGCGTTGTTGGACACTTCTCCTGTCCACGACACACACCTACTGCTAGGTTCGGGCCTGTGTGGACGCCTCCTGCCCTGACACATATGACTCCTCCCCTGACTAGGTATAATTCACTGCCGGACACCACACCCGTCCCACCTCACCTGCTCGGCCTGCTGTCAGACCCTGCTGAACAAACCCCCTCACACAACACATAAAACCTCAAATGCATTCCTAAATATTGGGCCATGAAAGAGCCCCCACCTAACCACATATTCGCTCTAGGTACCAGGGCCTGCTGAGCAAACCAATCCCCACACCTCATATGAATACCCAGGCACTGGGCCCTGAATGAGACTCCCTTAACCCCACTAAATGCCTGTTATCTGGTCCTGCTGGATCATTGCCGCTCTGCCCTAAAAACACACTGCTTTTATTTGGGCCCCACAGGATCCCATCACACCACAGGAGGTCCATATACAGTGGAAGGTATCAGACCCTCTTCTGCATCCCACCACACAAGCCGCGTCCTCCAGTGTTAATTCTCAGGCCCTGAGGCACACTTCATGACCTGAACTCATATATAATTTAAGGGTATCACACCTTCTTGATATCCAAACCATGATATCTAACCATGATAACTCCTATTATGTCAACTTAAGACCCTTTAAACACACACACATCACCCTGCAGCAGTCTCAAATCCATTGCTAGGTATCAGGCCCTGGTGACACTCCCTAACGCCTCCCACACACTCTGGAGTGTCAGGTACCCCTGGATATCAGGCCAACACCGCCACCCTACACTCATCTGAACAGGCCTGCGCAGGCACTAATTCACCCCATCAGCTAACACGTATTTATCAGGTGTGGGGCCCTGATGGAAACCCCCTCCTACTGCTCCCCACTGGTATTCATCCCTACACTCCTGCGACCACACCTCTACTTCTAGGTATCAGGTGCTCTCGTTTGACCTCCTACCCCACATAAACCACAAGCTATCTGATTGTGCTGGAAGCTTCTCCCCCTGTCACCCAAAACTGCCTGCCAAGTGTTTGCCTTGCTGGACACCCTCCCTCTGAGCCTGTCACACCCACGGAGCTAGGCACTGCGTTCTGCTGGACTCTTCCTCCACCACACAGGGCTGTGCATGAGGCCCTGCTGCTGGTTACTGCGCCATGCCGTACCCCCACTGTAACGGCCCAGAGAGCGGTGCGGATCACGTCCACCTGAACACCAGCCTGCCCTCCCACCCGATACGCTAGGTGTCAGACCACCTTATCATACACTGCTGGCCAACAAACACGGCGATATTTCACGCCCTGATAGAAACCATGTCACCACCGTATACAAGCTTCTAGGTAGCGGGTCCTAGTGCCGACGCTGTCACCCAAACAATGCTAGGCATCAAGACTTACCTAACATCTACCATTCTGCTACTACAGACATTAGTAAGGGTTTAGATGGAGGATACGGAAGGATCAGAATCATATCAGTGCATACAGGACTTCAGCAAGGTATCCCACTGTTATAGCCAAAGACATGCACACATACATGGCTAGGTAGGCATCAGATCTTGCCAGAAATACCCTCTTCTTTAGCGAATGCCAAGGACACAGGGCAAGGTTTCAGATCTTCCTAGGTAAATCCTCCCCTACAGCCAACATTCTTCCTACCCATCTAGGTATCAGGTCCTCCAAAGGATCCCTGCCTACAGCCAACGCCCTCCAATGAGGATTAGAAGTCAGGTCCTTTAAGTGCGTCAAAGACCCCACACATAAAGAGACACAGAGGACTACGTGTCATGTGTGTCCTTCTAAAAAATGTCATGTTTGTTGGCCACAGGTCCTCGGCAGGACCTCGCTGCTGAAGGTCCTCACACGAGATGTGCCTTTCTCTGTGTACATTTCACTTACTCTGATGTCCTGGGGCCTCATCCATGCTCGAGCGTGTGTCAGACTCTTCTGCTCCTGTACTGGGGAAGAACATTCATGTGTGTACTGTTGTATTTTCATGTCCATTCCTGCAACACTCGAGTTGGTCCATCTGAATCACATATAGTGTGGGTGTCAAATGTCTGACTGCTCTTTTCGGGTTTGCTCAGATAATGGGAGACTGGACCACGTGGCAACCCTGTACTTTGTCCTCTCCTTGGTTACCAGAGTCAAGTGCCAAGGGTTTTAAGGCCGTTCTGTGGCATGTCAGTGACATCAGCTACCCCTTCCTGGTGGCTGAGGACTGTGGTGCCCTTGGCCCTTGCTGCAGAGATGCCTGTTGTGGCTCCCCAGGCTCCTCCCTGACCACCAGCCCATTTTCTCCATCTATGTGGGAATCTCCTGAACTTGAGGTCTCATCCTCTCTGCCTAAAGCCCACTGGCAACTGCCTCAGTAATCGGTAGAGTCTTCAGTTAAACACCAGCCTCTGAGTAAGTTTCTAACCCTGTTTAAATGGGAATCACAAGGCTGCTGAGTCCACTCAGCAATGTGTCTGAAGCTCCTGACCATTGTGAGCACGGTGTACATCACACACACAGAGGGCAGAGCTATCTTCACTCCAACATGGAAATACTGCGGCCATGGTTCAATTCTGTTGTCTTACACTTGGCTCTAATTTGTCCTGCGGTTCCCACATTGTTCAGAGCAAAGACAATTAGTGTTGTCCTGAGGATGAGTGTGGAAGCCAGGCTGAGTGTCGGGACCCTTCCCCTCCCACACAGCCACCCAGGGACATCAGCGTGGGGTCCAGTTTCCTTCCCTGTGCTTTGCAGTCCTGGCAGGTTTGTCTGTGTCGATGCCTGTGTGACTCCAGAAGTCATGTCACATGCTCAGATGGGAAGTCCTTGTCACCTCCATGGTCCCTAGAGAAAGTGAAGTCAGCAGAGAGGTAGGCTCTGTTTTGAGCCAGCCAGTGCAATATCCATCCACCTTGTCTGAGGTCTGTCATTTTCAGAATGTGCAGTGACCACAATGGTCCACTAGGTGGTGCTGGTGTTTACCTTTTGCCTCCCAAAGTCATTGCAGGGTTACTTCTTATTGCATTAAGTCACATAACCCCTTTTAAAGTTGTTATTATTCATCTACTTATTTTACATTCTGACCACAGCCTCCTCTTCCCTCTCCCCTCCCAGTCCCTCTCTCCCAGATCCCCCTTCCACTCTCCTTTCCCCTCTTCTTCCATCAACAACCAGGAAACGGTGGGTCTTCTACGAGTATCAATAAAACAAGGTGACCCAGTATTAGAAATGGGGTCCCAAAATCCAGCAATGGGGTTGGAGACAGCCCCTATTCCAGCTGTTAGGAGTCCCATAAGAGGACCAAGCTACACAACAATAGCATATATGAAAAAATAAGTATAATTCCTGCAAGATAATAGGATATTGGTGCTATGGCCACAGAATTCAGGCAGTGAAAGAGAAATAGAAAGAAAGAACTAGGCACTAAGGCTCAGTAAGGTACAAGAAACTGGTGCAGTAATTCTAGTAGTCTAAGTGACTACTAGACAGTGGGGTATGGATGGGGAAGGGTGGCTGTTGGAGAATATTATTTTCAGGTGTGTGACTTTTGTTTACGCTGCATTTGTTTAACTCGGTGAAGCTGTGTTACTGTGCCTATTGAAAACACTTGATTATCCTAATAGAGAGATGAAAGGCCAACAGCGAGGCAGGAGCAAGGATAGGTGGGGCTGGCAGGCAGAATGTGTAAAAGCAGAACCAAGAGGGACCAAGGATGAAGAGAAAACAAGGAGAGAAGGACACCAGGGCCCAGACACCCAGACACCCAGACACCCAGACACCCAGACACCCAGACACCCAGACACCCAGACACCCAGCCAGCTACAGAGTAAGAAGGAAAGAAAGGTATCGGATATAGAGAAAGATAAAAGCCCAGAGGCGAAGGCAGATGGGGTAAATTAAGTTAAGAAAAGTGGGCAAAAAACAAGTCAAGCTAAGGCTGGGCAGTAATAACTAAGAATAAACATCTGTGCGTGATTTATTTGGGAGGTGGGTGGTGTGCACCCCCAAAAAGCCAAAAGTAAAACATCATACAACAGTGGACAGTTTACATCTATGAAAAAAGAAAGTAAGAATAATAATAATCACATCTCCATTGGCTGCAATTGCCTCTGAACCAAAGGTCTTTTCAACATCCCAATCCCTGATGTGGCAGCTACCTTGGGTGACATTTCTTGCCATATTACTGGTCAATTGAACTGTTCTTTAGTTAATCTTCAGGATGGGCTCTGCTTATATAGCTGGGGGTTGAAATCCACATTTATCTCTTTCAGCTGAAACTGCAGCCAGGTTCTGTGGCCCCACCCTGACTCTGTTCAGTTGTGTATTAATGCTCCAGTTCTCTCTGAGCCCTGGTCAGTGGGTCTCCATCATGGCTGCCCCACAGCTTTTGTGGACATTTTCATGGTTCTGCATCTCACTGTGGTGTCCTCTGTTGAATAAAGTCATACAGATGAAAGAGGGAAGAATGAGAACAAGAAAGGCTACAGAAAAAAAAAATAACTTTAAAAAGGAAAGTGTGCTCCCAAGTGTCAACTCTCTGAATGTGGATCTTGGCTTGAGTCCTGACTGGTACAGAACTGTGGTACGGAAGCCATTACCTCTGAACATACCTGTTCCCACCAGGAAAAAAAAAATCACACCTGCCCCCATTACCAACAACGATGATGTGTTCATTGCTAAGACACTGAGATGTTTAGTTTTTTAGAGATGATTTTAAAACTCCAAACATCTAGTAAAATTTGAGCAGTAGTATGAAGAGCTAGTGCCACCTGCTATCTTCCTCTGAGAAGCTGGACTGGGGGGGCCAAGTCCCAAGGACATACATGTAGGATCCCATCTCAGTTGGCCCCTGGAGTCCAGTCTTGCTTGAAGTTCCTTCTGTTAGGAGAAAAGGAGAACTATTCGACAGTCATTGAGCTTAGAGACAAGAGATTTGTCCAGGCAGTGGACCTGACCCCAAGTACTCTGGGAGCCAAGAAGAGAACAGGGGAGTCTGCTGTGGAGAATGCTGGTGCTTCTGAGAGAAAGCAATGATGAAGGTTCCAGGTTGCATCAGAGGCTTGAGGCATAAGAAACCCATGCAGGTAGACACCCAGGTGCCAGGCTTGGTGAACGCAGCAGCACAGCTGTCTGCATAAACCGACTCCAGGATGAGGGCTGTGCAGACATGGAGGAAGAGGAGGAGGAAATGTTCTGCTGGAGAGAGTAAGTGGACAGGGCAGGGTCATTTAGGGGGTGATCTATGGAAGGTCCCACAGTCTGTCATGTCGGGTCTTCCTGAATTCCACAGAGAACTCACAACCAAGGAAGGTGTCATGCATTGAGGGGGGTTGGGATGTGGAGCTAGGTTTTTCCTTTCTGTAGGTCAGCCAGGAGGGTGGGACTTTGGGTGGTACCCTAGACGTGGGCATTCTGTTGTGTGGGCTGTACTTTGCTCAGCAAGTTAGGGCTTTCACTTTCAATTTTCGGGTATTAACCAGCAGGAAGCTGCTCCTTACTGGGACGCTGAAGTACAGCTACTGAGCTGATGCACAGGGAAGATTCCAGTTCAGCCACGGGAAGATTATTCGGTAAGCTGGAGGCCTCTTAACCCCACCTACCTGCTCCAACTCCCAGCTGCTCTTGCAGAGAAAGATGATCAGGGGAGATCACCAAGGTCCTCAAGGCTCTGCTGAAGTGCCAGTCTGCCTGAGACCTGGCCAGCAGGCTCCTAGGGCAGGTGGCTGTTGTGGGGCCTCACTCCTTTGGAAATGGAGGGAATGAAGGGTGTAGAGAAAGGCGGGGAGACAACCCAGAGCTCACTGGTTCATGTGTCCTGTGCACCCTGGGGTTGGCCCTGGGTAGTTACTGCTGCCAAAACCAGATTGCACAAATGTTGACTGACTTGGGGCTTCAAGGTGCCCAGGAGTTGTGCCACACACTGTGTCTCTGAGCATGTGTCCATGCCAAGGCCATGTGGGAATGGGGGTGCCTTGTTGAGGATTCAGTGAATCAGGCTGAGCAGGTGGGAGACAGGCCCGCCTCCCCTGGGCCTCCCCAGCCTCTGCACAGTCTGTGAAGGGTGGAGAAGGAAGACAGACTGGCCTGTGTGTTTGGGTGGCCAGGGCACAGTGTGGGGCATGGAGGGACAAGCTGTACAACCCCATATTTAGCTCTTTGAGTCCTGTTATCTCAAGGTCAAAGGCCAGACCACAGGTGGGGGGAGAGGAGATTATCTCTGTGCCTGTAAAACCAGAGCTTTAAGATGATGATGACGATGATGATTTTATTATTAAAATTTTAATCCACACTTTTCCTCAAATGGGGCTATGTCCTCAGAAGCTAGTGCCTCAATATCCAAAGAATGTCTCCAGAGCCCAGAGAGCAGCACGCTGGGCACATGGAATGAGGCTGTCCTGCTTGGTCCTGGCACCTCATGGGATTGGAGACATTTCTTGTGAGGGAAGAGACTTAGCAGTCCTGGATCCCTGGAAGCTGCCTTTGGGTGCAGTGGGGGAGAAAAGAGGAACTAGGAGAAGGGATGGAAAGAGGACAGGGCTATAGTAGGCAGGAGACCCTCTGTCCAGGGTAAATCAGCTTGAATGTGATCCTGGGAGCTAATTAACGATCCCCAGGTTCGTGCTGTCCTGAGCCCTGTCTCCTCGCCCTAGAAAGATTCTCCACAGACACTGGGAATCGAGACTTACTGAAAGCCTCTATCTGCCCCACTGAAGAGCTTCTGCACAACTAGGGAGAGGACACTCCCAGCCTGGGCTTCAGCGGGCCATCAGAATGGAAGGTCTGGGGGTCACTTATCCTCCCTCCTGACTCACATCCATAGGATGCCAGTGCTAAGAGGCTCTGTGTGCAGCTGATTAAGTGGGGGAGGGGCTCAAGGGAAGCATGAAGGACAGCTGGCCTTTCTCTTTTCCTTTCATTTCTTTTGTGGCACTAGGTGCCAGTCCCAGGACCTATGCACTGGACAAGGGCTTGACCACTGGGCCGCCAGCACAGAGTGACCAGAGACAGGAAACTCAGAGGGCAGACATTTTACCCGAGTATAAGATCACCCCAAATGCCAGTCTTTCTTCCTGACAGCCTCTGGGGTCCTGTAGCCTATAAAACAGGGCACATGAGGTAGGGACCTGAGCTCTCCTGTCATACAGGTGCCTTTAGCAAGAACCTCCGCCATCAGCCTCCTTATGTCTGGCTACTGAGGTAAATGAAGACCCACAGTTACATATGGACTATCCTGGGAATGGCCAGGGCAGCTGTGGGTAAGGGAGCAAAAGGAAGCTGTGGGTGTCCTGGCAGGGAGGCCTTGTCACAGCCTGGCCTCCTTCCTCCCTCCCCACAAGGCAGAAGCAGCAGGTATCTGAGTAGTCAGTGTCTTCTGCCCGAAGGCTAAGGACACTCCCGTCATCCAGTGAGCCTATGGTGGTTATTCTCGGTGATGACGAAAGCTCACCGTGGAGATCCGCGGCTGCACCAGGCTGGCAGAGAGAATCTGTCAGGACCAGGGCTTGGCAGGGGAAGCTTGAAGGAGAGTCTAGATGTGTGCTGCAGGAAGTGAGGGCCAGTTGTGCCTGGAGTATCCGTGGAAACCCTGTCTGTGGACGAAGAGAAGGAGGTAAAGCCCTACTTGGCAAAGACTAACACTCATTCTTCCTCTCCAGCAAGAGGGACCTCAGAACATTTGGGACTATAAGAAGCTGACTGTGCAGACATGACTTACCAAGATAGATATTTATATAGCACCCATTGGCAGATTGGGAAGGCTCCAGATTTGCTTTTGGCAGGACCTTCTTGATGCACCATTAATGCAGCGGGACAGTCCTAGTGGGCAGATTCAGGGTTTCTTCCTCTCTTCATAGAGCCATGAGCCTTAGCGTGGCAGCCCAGACCCATGCATCACATGCAATACGGACTGTCACCATTGCTGCACACAGTTCCCACCCCAAGTACCAGAATGTTTCTCCTCATCTCTCTGAAGAGGCTAGGTCCCTTCCCATGGCCGTCTCCAGCTGATCGTCCATGTTCCGTGGACCTAACAGGACAGGAGGCCTCTGCTCTGGCTTGGGTATTGGAAGAGTGAGAGGAGGCCTCGGACTGAGTCCTTCAGGGGTGGGACCAGGGCCAGGTGCTCTTTGACCTTAGTTGCCCTGCTAACCCAGAGACACCAGCCTCCAATGAAGCTGTCCCCACTCCATCCTACATTTTTTTTCTCTTCCTTTCAGCCCAGACTCCCAGATAGTTGTGAGGAAAACCTGTGAGAGACCCCACTCCTGGCACCAAGGACCCTGCAGCCCTCATGGCCTCCAAAGGTATAGATTCCTCTTCTCTGGCTCTTTCCTGAGCATGATCTGAGTGTGGGCATCCACACTGAAAACTTGTAGAGTTGAGGATAGAAAGAAAGTCCCCAAAATGAACTAACAGAGTATCAGCTACCTGGGTATAAGGAGTCTCCCTCTTGACTCTGTCTTAGGGAGCATGCTCAGGGATCCCCTCCTCTCTCCTGCGCCTCTTAAGGGGGGGGTTAGGAAAGCCTGGTGAAGTGGAGGAAATCACGTGGTTTAGGGACAACTCCCAAAGTCTGAGGAAACCCCAAACTCTCCAGCACACGGGATATCACTTGATCCCACAGGCTGAGGGCTTGGACCAAAGACCCCTGTTTCTCTCAGGTCTGAAAGTCAAAGTCCACAACAAAGAAATGGTGGGTTGGTGTGGTGAGGGCACTCTTCCTGGTATGTAGCAGGAGCTTGCTACCTGAGAGTCTGCACATAGTCTTCCCTCTGTGCATGGTGACAGAGAGGCCGGAAGGGACCAAGTGGAGGAAGGGACACATAGACACAGGGATCAAAGATGATAGGTAAGAAGATAGGTCAGCGGTTCTCAACCTGTGGCTTTAAGCCACTTTGGGTGATGAAAGACCCTTTCACAGAGGTCATCTAAGACCATCAGAAAACACAGATATTTGCATTATGATTCACAACAGTAGCAAACTTACAGTTATGAATTAGCAACAGAAGCAATTTTATGATTAGGGGTCACCACGGCGTGAGAACATGTAGTAATGGCTTGCAGCATTAGAGAGATTCAGAATCACTAAGATAGATAGATGGATACATACATACATACATACTACATGCATGACATTATACACATGATGTCTATTTTTTTGTGTTACCAGTACCACACTCCCATGGATTAGGGAAATATATTTATGACATCATCTAATCCTCATTTCTTCTCTTTCTTAAAGGCCCACCTCTAAAACTGTTCGCATCCAGAAGGCTTTTTATATGTGAATTGAAAGCACAACACATTCCCTAGCATTGCTGACTCCATTCATGCCCCAATGGCAGATGCTGAATACTCTGGCTGTCAAGTGCCATACGCTCTTTGCCATTTAGGCTCTTCCATGCTGACCTCTAACCTCATTCTTTTTCTTCCCAAGTACTGAGAAAACCCTTCATCCAGGAAGTCACTAAGTATCTGCAGGACTCAGCAAGCAGAAGAGACCTGCAGTTCCTGTTGGCCAAAGAAGATGCTTGGGAGGTGTTGGTGGCAGAGGCTGAATTGTCCAGGTCATCTCCACAGGACTCCCAGATTGTCCCCAATTTTTCTCTGATCCCACACCCCAGTGCTCACCTACAGAGTTCCCAATGAGCAAATATTTGGTAGTGATGGCACAGACCTTGAGTGGAGCCATCTTTATCATGTGCCTGTCACTAATGTGTGTCTTAACATGACTTCACACACTGACACCTACGGACTAAGAACCATTGAGTGTCTGTGGTCACCCTATAGAATGTAGAGAGTCTGTGGTTTCTTGTAGAATGCAGAGTCCTGCACATAGTAAAACTCTTTCCCATTGGTTCTACAACGTAATTCTGTGATTTGAATGAGATAGATTTTGGGGAACCCATCTTACAGCGAACAAGCCGTCTTTCTGATGCTCTGACCTCTTCTGTTACAGAGATGAGGAAGCTGCACTGCGTAAGGCTCTGAGGCAGCTCCTAGAGCTCCCAGTCGTGGAGGACAAAGAACGGCTTCAAAAAGAACTGCAGGACAGGAAGAGGTTTGTGGAACATTTTCCTCAGTTGAAAAGGAAGCTGGAGAAAATCATCAGGAAGCTCCGAGCTCTGGCTGACCATCTTGACCAGGTGCACAAGGGCTGCACCATCTCCAACGTGGTGACCAACACCACTAGCACTGCCTCTGGAGTCCTGGGCATCCTGGGTCTAGCTCTGGCACCTGTGACAGCAGGGGGCAGTCTGCTGCTCTCAGCCACTGGGGTGGGGCTGGGGGCAGTGGCTACTGTGACTGGTGCTGCCACTCTAGTTGTGGAAGAAACAAGCAAGTGGTCAGATGAAGCCGAAGCCAAGCGCCTGTTGTCAGACACCATGGACACTATGAAGAAAGTTCTTGACCTGGGAAAGATCGTGTGTAAACTTTCTGTAAAGCCCTATGGTCTCTTCAGTAAATTGAAAACCTTGGGACAAAACATACGTGCCATTAGGGTAGCCAGAGCCAACCCTCACTTAGTGGCAGATGCCAAGCTCCTCATGACTGCTGGAAGAATCTCTGCCCAACAAGCTAGTCAGGTGAAGAATGTCTTTGAAGGCACTGCTCTGGCAATGACCAAAAAGGCCCGAATCAGAGGGGCAGCCATTGCAGGTGCCTTCCTGGCAGTCGATGTGTATTACCTTGTAAGAGAATCTATGCATTTATATGACGGAGCAAAGTCAGAGTCAGCCAAAGAACTGCGGGCGCTCGCTCAGGAGCTAGAGGAGAAGTTGAAAGAGTTTGATAAGTTCTACAAGACTTTCTAGGTTCCTTAGTGACAGCCTCCCCCGACAACACAGAGGTCAGTCAGAGGAGAAGACCTGGACAGATTAGAGGCACTGAGGCATTTTGTTGGAGGAGGAATGAGGTAGCTAGCGTTAACCGTCATCTTGACACAACCTAGCATCTTGTGAGAAGAGAGTCTTGATGAGGGACTGTCTAGCTCAAGTTGTCCTGTAAGTATACTTGGGAGATATTTTTCTTCATGACACTAATTGAGGTGGGTAAATTCCTTCACTGTGGGGGCACTATTCTCTGGGTATGGGTTCTGAACTGTATAAGGGAAAGAAGACTGAGCACCGGTAAGCATGCATGCGGGAATTCATTTCTCATTGCACTGGACTGTGGACACATTGTGGCTAGCTGCTTTGACTTCCCAGCCTCGACTTCCTCAGTGATGGACTATAGCCTGGAACTGTAGGTTGAAATAAAAGCTTTCTCCTCTCAGTTGCTTTTTCTTTGGGTGTTTATCACAGCGACAGCAATGAAAGTTGGGGAAGCAGAGAGTGTGGGAGTGAGTCTATAGAACTGAGCGTTGAGGAGCTTGTATTTCTGTGGCCCACTGTATGGTTTATAAGGACGGCTAGAGGGTCAAGGAAAGATGTGGCAGCAGCCTGAACTGAGGGACCAGAGAGGACAAGAGATTGTGGGAATGGGTCTAACGACACATAGTGGTTTGTGGGTATGAACAGAGTGGGGTGTGCAGGGGCGAGTAATGGGAAGGTCAGGGAAACAGAAGAGCTGGGAGTAGGAGACGCCAAGCCTCCCTCCCCACAGGACAATGTGTTGTGAGCCACAGCCCTTTCTGTCCAGCATCAGCTGTACCAACTCCCGCTCTGTTCATCGGGCACCTTCCATATGATGACAGAGGTGCTGAGGAAGGTGGCGGTGACAGCACAGGGAGTAGAACTCTTGACGAAGGGCAGCCCATGAAGGGGACAGGGACAGGGTGGCAGGAAGGACCGGTGAAATTAAAACCAATCTCCAAGTGTCAAGCTGGGTCAGTAGGTGATTTGGAGAGAGAGGGGAAGCCATGTCTGAGTAAGAGATCAAACAAATTGTGGGGTGGATATATCGGCTAGTTTGTGATCGTGAGACTCAGTCTGTGAGCCTCAACCCCTCTTCACTGAGGAAGGGGAGGTAGGTAAGATGGTGTCTTAGGTCCACTGGCTCTGCCCACATGATATCTATAAACTATGGCTAAATAACTATTGCTGATTGTTGGGGGAAACTATACTATGAACAACCAATAGCACAAGAGAAGGTGACTTGCAAAAAACAGGCAGAAAGTGTCAGCATGTCCCAATTGTGATCTGTATTTTTTTTATCTTCAAAGATTAAATTTATCTGGAGAAAGCCAAAATATCTCTCAACCAAAGGATAGGATTTTACATCTCAGGGCATCTCCTAAGTAATATCTACAGACTGCAAATCATTTTCACAGAAGATAGCTTTGTACAAATGTTACATGTATTCAGGAGCCTAAGTCAACCCGTTTTACTTTAACAGGGGCACAAAGTAGGAGAGTGGGTCAGAACCACTTTCTCTTGGGGGCAAATGTCTGAAGGCACAGAGACAATGAGGGCAAACTGCCTTTCATTGTCCACAACCACATTCCTCATGGGTATCCCTCTAGAAGAGAACTCTCTAGCTATTGGCCATCAAGTTCACTAGATAAGTGTTTGCTATGCCCACTGCACAGCACACTAAACCAACTCTCCAGACAACAGGCTTAGGGCTCGCATGAGAGACCGAGGTGTCTTTTGCCTGCAGGTACCCTGACTTCCTCCAGCAGAAAAACATGCCATCTCCGGAGCTGATGCCCACAGTGGTGCACGTCAAAACACACAGGTCAAGCTGCCGTGTTGCCAGTGAAACCAAGCCTCCTCAGCTGCTCTTCCTGTTGTTCTCTACTCTCAAAGGAAGTCAAGAATCTACCCTCATAACAGGAAGCCACACACTGTAGGTCACATGACAGACCCGAACACCAGCTTGGGATTCCAGTAAAGGAAACTTGTATGTGGTAGGGTATCCACCAGAGAAGATAACTCAACTCAGACACAGGTTTAAGCCAATAGAGTCTTTATTAGCTGGCCAGTGACTACAAGGGTGTTCAGAATCCCAGTATAGCACTGAGCCTTTCTCAGGGGGAGATTTTAAGCACAAAATCCTTATCCTAGGCTGACACACTTCAGTTAACAAGAACAGTCAGCCAGGAGCAGAACCACAGAAGTAAAAAGGCAAGGTTAGTACACTTAGGGACTTTCTCAGAAGCATGGACTTTGATGGGTTAAGTCTTTGTTTCCATTTTGTGGTTCTGTCTACATGCTGAGTTTTACAGCCTGAATGGTGCTCCCATCATGGAGTCAGTTGTGCTGAGGTT